GAGAGAGAGAGAGAGAGAAAGAGAGAGAGAAAGGGAAAGAGAAACAAGAGTAAAACTGGAAAGTTGAGTGACTTAACATGTACATCAAATGAGGGATGCTTAGGTGACAAAGTACAGTGCCAAAGGCCAAAGCAAATATTCTATGAGGACACTAAGTGAGCAGAAATTGCTATCAGAGTAAGTGATTTGTGATTGTTTATTAAATTTGATGAAAACCAAAAGTGAAGATATTAAATTTTATATAACATATAACATATATATTTAATATATAAGTATAAATATATATAATATATTATATTTTTCAATGAATTTATTTTAGGAAGTGATTGAAAGAAAATAACGTTTGACACCTTAAAAGTTTTTGTAATGATATGTAATTAAACAGCATGAACCTTCTTATCAGAATCATCAAAGATGTATATTATACAAAAAGTATTATGATGCAATCTTTAAACCTAGTTTTAAATTATTGCTGTGATTCATCAAAATGTATCTTATAAATCATTGTATTTAGGTTAGCAGTATATAACACAAAAAAATCACCAAATGGAATAGAAGAGTCTTCCACATAGGTATTTTACTTATATATACTTTCATCATGAAAATAACCTACACAGAAAAGTCATTTATAGTTTTCCATTTCCATTTATCCATTTTGTCATATTTTAAACCCGATTATAAATTATTAAAAATTAACAAAATTTAATATTCTGTATAAAACATAATGAATATTATAGAAATAATTTTTATCTTACCTTTGCCTTATAAAGATTTTTTTAAGTTTTAGATTTTATAAAATAGAAAAAAATACTATTATAATATAAAAAAGACTAAAATATAGGAAGCAATTCTGGTCACACCAATTCATTTTGAAGTCATCATTTTCCAAGCTGAGAAATGTTATGTACATAAATTTGCCCTCTAAAATGGAATCAACCAATTGTACCACTATGTGCTTTTTCCCAAAAGAGAAAGGAATGGGGAATTAAATTTTCTAAGAGAATAAGAGTATTCCCTTTAGGACACAGTAAAATAGTTCTACTGGGCATTGTTTATTTGGACACTCTTCAAAGAAGTTCACAGTGTTCCACAGGGTATTACAGACTTTAGAGTCAAAATCATTAAGTTGCTATCAACAGTTCTAGATTTGACAATTGGTATTTTACTTTATGCCACCACTTTGTACCACAGGTGGCATGTTCTTACATGTTGAAGTGAATTTTAATTCCTATCTAAAATGTATTTTTCAGAATGGGTTGTTTATCTGGCTTTGTTTGAGCTCATTAAAATATGATTTTAATAAGGCTAAAGATTTAGATTCTACTGAGGACCTTGTAAAAAATAAGAGTTTCATCATAAAAGCTATTGCTCAATTTTCAGACCTATACTTGGATACAACAGTTTAAGCTGAAATCTAATGAGTAATTTTTCAGACTGAGGTCAGAGAGAGGATGAAAGGAAAGAGGAAAAAGGCAAAGAGACTCCATGGGAGCTCTCATACAACTCTGCTTGTCAAACTTCAATGCCTAGAAACTTCACTGAGATCTTATTAAAATACAGATCCTGTTTTAGTGGTTATGGGCTGGGGCTCAGGATTCTTTTTTTTTTTTTTTGTAACACAGTGATGCCTATGGACATCAAGTGATTCTTGCATATTGTTGTCAAGTCTAACTTACAGGAAATTTTCTGAGAAATTTTTAACATGATATTCACATGTTCACATCTTCACTTTGGGTTTAATTGAATTCAATAAACATTCATTCAGAAAAGAACAATTTACTTATTGTGGCATTTAGATATGATATCTGAACAGTGGTATGCAAATACCTACACAATAATACTTTGTTGGTTTGTTGTTATTTTAGCTTAATCACCACTATTAAGAAGGGGCAAAAAAAATGACATGTTTTTTTGAAGTTTAATTAGTCAATTAACTGACTTATAATTTTGCTAGTGAAAAATATATGTAGGGAAAAGCTCTGTGAATACCATGCTCAAAAGTGGAGTAAACAAAATAATGTGCAGAGGTAGGTATTACTCTAACCAAAATTGGACTGAAATCAACTGTACTCTTAAAAATTATGTAATTCTTCATTCACTTTGTTGCCTATTTTTGATGATTAAAGTTCTTTATTACTAGTTCTGATATAGATAATATTTTCAACGGTATTTATTTTGGGGTGGGTGCCAGGGATTGAACTCAGAGGAACTTGACCACTGAGCCACTTCCCCAGCCCTATTTTGTATTTTATTTAGAGACAGGGTCTGGATTTTGAACTTATGATTCCCTTGTCTCAGCCTCCTGAGCTGATGGGATTACAGGTGTGCACCACTCCATATGGTTGTATTCATTTTAATATATAAATCTTGATATATCCTTGAGGTTTGAATTTACATGTGTCAAATTACTAATGATTTACAGCATGTCTTTATGCCCTTATTTGACATGCATATGTATCTTCAGTGAGTTGTCTCTGAGTTTTTAGCTATTTTTAATCAGAATATTAAATTTCTTTTTACATATTTTGAGAGCTTGTTGTGGATCCTATACACAAACCAATCTTTCATCAGATATTTACAAAAGTTATGGACACTAATTGACTTTTCCTGGTAGAGATATCAAACTAAACAACCATACTAATTATTTGACCACTACTTCATGGCCAGAACTCTCAGCTATTTAATATATTCTTCTTCAGTCATTTTGAAAGAAACAACACTATTTTCTTCAAGTGGTAGAGTTGAGGTGGACCTTAAGAAAAAATAAATTTCAACTGCAAATGAATTAGGTTGGTTTTGCAGTACCATGGAATTCTTTCTGGAGACAACTGTATGGACAGAAGTATAGGGTGGTAAGAGTAAAGTGTCAAGTTGGTTTAGTAATATATTTTGGCTCTAACACAGGTTTCATAAGTATTATAGAGAAATAATTCTAGAGATAAACTAAGTTATATTGGAAAAGACTTATTTGGGGTGAGCAAACACAAAAGAAATAAGCCAGAATCAGAAAGTCAGAATTCCAATGTTTACTCTCATGTGTGGAAGCTAAGAGAGCAAAGGAATGAAAAAAAAATGGAAATTTCTAAAAAATAGAAGAAAGATCAGTAGACTAGAGGAAATGAAGGGAGGAAAAGAGGAAGAACTAGGGAGTGAAGTTGATCAAATTATGCTATGTGCATCTATGAAGATATCGCTATGCATTCCACTTTTATATATAACTATATATAAATATAGTGCATCAGTTAAAATAAATGAATAAATAGAAGAAATAACAATAAATCAGAAGAAAGGGAGAGAAATGAGGAAAGGGAAAGAGGAAGTACTGGGGACTGAAAAGCAAACTATATATACATATATATTATATGTATTTATGAATATGTCAAAATGCACCCACTGCTATACATAATGGTAAGGCACTAATAAAAACATTTTGAAATTGTTCTTCTTATGTATTGACACCAATATATCTACATGGTTGGCAAAGATGCTGAAAAAGCTCTGCAGATAATAACTATTGGATAGCTTGATTTAACTTATCTTTGAGAAGTAGGGAAGTTGTTTTTTGGTTTTCTCAAACACATTTTTAGTCTGCTAAAGCCTTTAGTTCTTCAGAAGTCAAGTATACTACCCCTTTAAATAAGCACAGAAGCTAAATTATAATATCACTCTGATTAAGGTTAAAAAATTATCTTCCTTCTTCCTGGTACACAGTCTAATTTCTATATTGTTGTGCTGG